TTTAGGAAAGAGGGACCAATGTCATATTTACCAGATTTGTAGCATATGTCCTTTATTGCTCTTTCCTCTTCAACATCTGCAGCAGTCTTAGGCACCCAATTGGAAACATCTGTAGGAAGTATTTTTAAAAGATTACTAGAGAGTTGTACAAAGACGTTCAACAATTCTTAATAATCAAATACCTGAATGAATTTCATTTTGGTCACGATTTGTTTTTTTTTTGCTGACTGCGACCTCTGCTTCTGGACAGAAAAATGATTCCTTAACAGCAGGTATTTCCCAGTGCAACGTGCTGATGACAAAAATGCTGATCACCTATTTTTTTTTTTTTTTAAGCAATCTATCCTTTTTCAGCCTGGCAATTTGATAAGATGTGTTCTTCAGAACGAAAAAACCCACAACTCTTTGTGCCCGAGATGAAGCAGTGATGTTGGGATTCATTTCACTTAGTTTTATGCATCTGCAAGTAGGGGTTACTCTGCCTGAAGGAGGTTCCTTTTATTGGAAATTAAGGCAGGGAGGCACCTCAGGATGGAGACTGAATCCAGTTTAAGAGAGGTGACTGAAACTGGCAAGATGAAATCGCTTTCTTAACTGCTGATTACTTAAATGCTTTACTACTAAATTTCTTGCTGAAGTTCTGCAATCTACTTGTGCAAATTATGCTGGACCAAATTTACTCTTGCCCCTATTTAGGCATCAGCAACTTAATATTCACCTGCAGGGACAAAACCGAAAGCAGCACAACACAGACAGGTAAATTTGAGGCATTGGAAGAATCCTGTGTAAGCAGGAACCCACCTGTCGATCCATTGAACTTTGGTTCCTGGGTGACGGTACGGTAGACTACATATGCTGATCTTCGAGGTCCTGAAGAATCGAAATAAGTCTTTCTTCCAGTGTCTCTCACGTAAGGCATGGAAGGAGCAGTTTCTTCATCCTTACTTTGACCCCTGTGTTGGTAACTTGGTTTTACTTTGGGCTCTGAAGTGTGAATTCCTAAAAGTGAAAAAAGAAACAAAAATGTTGTGCTGTTACTCCAAATTTGTCCTACTGCAGGAGACTGGAGGCTGGAAGACAAGGTTAAAAAAATGTTCTTTGTGGATAGTCCAATCCAGATCGGGATTGTCCGTATTTGCCACTAAGAACAGAAATCAGCTAGGTGGTGCTAAATCACCGAGCAGTTGAGTAAATAAAAGTGAATAAGCCAAGGGTTTTCTCAAAATACCTTTGCCTGTTCCTGTAGTAGGTGAATTTCTTGGCTTCTCAGAAATCCATTTCTCTTCCTTTGCTTCTTTACCGTGATGGTTCTTTACCAGCTCAGTCTGGTTTGTTTCTGAGGGATTAAAATAGCACATATTTACTGTTTTATAAAAGCCGCAAAATTTTCTGATCCAAAAATGCGGTGGTGTTTTGAAAACCTAATCTCCCACTTCGTACACAGGTCTTCTTGGGTGGAACATGGTTTTACATGTTAATTATTCTAAAAGTATCATTCCTCAAAAGGAAAGTGGCTGTATTCCTTCTAGCAGAGTTCGTGGTCACAAAATCTTGAAAGCAACCTCCAAAACTGACTGATAAACACAAAGACCAAGGCTACTTTGAACTTGTACAGTTGCTGTGAGCAGGTCTGGCGCCAAAGGCTTCTCATTATGAATTAGAAAATCTTCATGAATACTGTATTTAGGGTTTACAGTTTAAAAGTACAAACGTTTGCTTGAATCCACATACACATTCGTAATTCCTGAGAATGAAAAGTTGCGTGCAATGTATGTGTGCGTTCACAGGGGGAAGAAGTAAGTCCTTCTGGGAAGTCAAAGTGTAGCATCGAAATGGGAACGCAATGCAAAGGGACTCGGAGGCACAGGGTGACAGACACCTTGTGAGCTCGGAGTGTGTGTCGTTACAAGAGAACTCAGTTAGCAACAGAACAGGAACCGTGATATGGTCCAGTCTACCGGTGCTTGTTTCTCATCCCTTGCACATGAGGTATGCTTTGCCTCTGTCTCAGTTGTATCAGTTCAGCTGTGTGTTGCCCTGCAAGCTGAACAACTAAAATGAGGTGGCATAAAAAATAGCTTCAATTTATAAAAGGATTATTTTAATCCTCAGGCACTTCAGTGATACAGTTTAGAGCATGGGCCTGCAAATAGTTTTAACAGCTGAACTGGCATGGCTGACGTAGTGACAAACAGCCTTGCAGAAATGCCATTGAATGGCTGGAGATTCAACCTTCCTATAGCAGCTTTACCTCCGATGTCAGCACACCTAGTAGCTAAGGCTGTTCTACTCTATGCATGTCCTTTTTATAACTCCACAGAACCATTTATTTTCTATGCAATAGTTTCTCCCTATAGCAGTAATTTAAAAAGTGGCAAACATTGTCCAAGCAGATGAAAAGTACTTGCCTTTCTGCACGTCTCGCTCGGTAGCTTCCAAGGGTAATGGCTCATTTTCCCGAGGTGAAGACACAGTTGTGGTTGATTGGTGTTCGTGAGGGTACTGAATCCTGTAATACTCTCCTAAACATACCCCAAGAGGGAAAAAAAAA